ATCCTCTGCCGTCCTCTTCTCCTTTTGCCTTCAATCTTTCCCAGCATCAGGGTCCTTTCCAAAGAGTCCTCTCTTCGCAAAGAGAAAACTAGCGGTCAACAATTTCTTTGTATTGATGATTTGCTTCCTCCTAACAGAGAAGTAATCCATTTGGTTGAACTGAATCCTATTCAATCCAGTCCAACATCCAATTGAATGTGTACTGAATCTGTACTATGCTGAGACATTTCAAGGAAAAGAAATGTCTCAGTACAAACAGGATTTTTTTTAAACTCCCTCTTAAGGACTTGAGTTTATCCATGCTCTTCCTTCCCACCTCCAAATTCCTCCCTGACTTCCAGACCTCAAATGACACTTGGACATTTTTATATGTATTAGAAACTCACATCCTGTTTAAGGCGGCTTGCTTGTTTTGCATTTACAAACTGACATTTATTTGCATGCGGAGAAAGATAAGCATCTCCTGAAAAAAATTGTTCAAAGGATGGAACATGATGGCCCCTTCCAATGTCATGACTTTCTGAAATCATCCTTTTTTTTTTTGGAAGGTTATTTCTCTTCCACCTGAATTCATTGATTCCGCAATAAACCACTTTTCATGGTTTTTCTTTGGCGTGGTTAATCTTTTTTTTTAATTTATTTATTTAGATGATGCAAGTGTCCTTGAGAACCTTACTACATAGAAGTTTACAGCTAAGGGATAAAGATTCCTTCAAGTTGAGCTCAATTTCTGGTGACTATACAAGGATGATCAGTTCCTTGGCAGCAGTACCAAAGTGGCTTATTATTTCCTTCTTCAAGGAAGTTTTACTAACTTTTCCATCTAGCCTAAAATTCTGGAATTTCCTGGTGTCTCCTCCAAGTGATCCTGCTTAGCCTTTTTATGATCCTCAAAGGTCAGCTAAGTGATGTTCCCTAGTTGGGCAAAAGTATAACACATTGCACTAAATAAATAAATGTGAAATAGAAAACATTTGGAATGCTTTTATGGCTTTCCAAATGCCGTAAAACATTTTAATTCCAAAGGTTGCTGGGGAATTCTGGGTTGTGAAGTCCACCTGTCTTAAAGTTGCCATGGTTGAGGAACCCTGTCTTACAGAACAGATTTATATAACCTGGGTCAAGGACAGCTTAAAGCTGAGAACCCTAAGTGGTTTGCAACACATTTTTTTTCCAACCCTTAGCATTGGAAGAGCAGACTCAGCAGATGTCTAAATGTTAATTCTGAAGGTGTCAGAAGAAGAAATTATTTTTAAAAAGCAAAAGCTTCTTCTAATTGAACTCAACCCTGGGTGATTATGTAGACAAATCCATGGAAATGGGATGGAGGTGAATTGCCATTGTCTTCTTCCAGAATTTTTTTCTTCCCGGTGTAGCCTTACAACCTACAGATTTCCTATCCCACTACTAACCAGCCCTAATCCTGCTTTGTTTCTAACCCTGCTCCAGGTCAGGCAGCTGCTTCCACCTGCTGAGATATAAATAGATTAAATAATAGAAAAGAAATCAAATCAAATATTGGGGACCACCCACTTTTTGGAGGGTGGTCCAGAGCATGCTACCTAAAGGTGAAATGTGGCTGTCAGCCTCAAAACGATTGTGCACCCTTGGGTGTAAGCCCTCACATACAATCAGGTATGGTGAAGCATCTTCAAATCCCATTCTTTTGCAGTGAAGAGCTAAGCATGCCTCACCTCCCACCCAAAAAATTAATTGGATGGAAAAGTGCTTCACCATGACTGCATACTATCTTACAGATGGCGCAGCTGATTAAAGTAACACAAATGTGTCTTGATTTCTCCTCCAGTGCAAGAATGAATCTCTTTTTCTCCTTTTTACAGTGCAAAATTATTGCAAGTTGCCTTGTGTGGTAAATTGAATCTCAAAATACTGTTCCTTCCTGCCAACAGAGGGCACTTTGTACCCGTCACTAGCATGTCCCTGAAACTCTTTTACGTAGACATTCGACTTTTTGGACTCCTGGCTAGGCAAAGATTTCCAATTCGTTTCAAAATTGCCACCTCCCTGTCTGCACCAAAGAAGCAGCTCTATAAACAGGATTTTTTCCCCTCTCTCTCTTCTTACCAAAGGCCTCAGATGGCCTTTCCCATCCTCGCCACACATTGCAGAAATTCACACACTTGGCTTCTTGCTCACGGAGCCTAATAATCACTGCCCTTCTCAGCCCTGGGAACTTTGGAAAGATGCAGAAAGCAGTCATTATCCTAACTGCAAGCTCATATGCCAAATTACAGCAGAGATATAGCCAAAATATCACAGAATGCTTACTGTTGGGAGTGGGTGGCAGAAAACCAGGAGGATGGAAGGGAGGGTATCAGAACACAGCAAAACTAGCTGGCGGGCGCCTTCAATAGGAGCACTCCAAACTGCAGTATTTTGTAGGCCCCATTTATCAATATTCTGGAGTCAGGGGACAGGATACCCTGATCAGCTGTGCTATACCCCTGGTTTGCTTAACTGTAATTTCTTGAATAAGCCACAGCAGAGCGGGTTGCTGCACAGGCGGAGCCTTGGCCAGGTTTAACAACCCACAGGGACTGAATTTGCACATGTTAAGTCTAAACCAAGCCAACCACATAATGGCTTTGTGCAATGTGTGAACCCGGCCACATTTGTTTCAATGCAAAACGCCTGGAGTTAAGTCCATGTGTGCCTAAACTAAGGGTAATTATCCTTATTACTACTGAGATGCGCTAAAGACGTAGTTCACTTTTATACCAAAAGTATTTCCTTTCCAGCTGAAACACAGTAAGAACAGCTTTCTTGCGCAGAGATCCATCTGCCCGTCTTTCTGAGCTAACAACTCAGTCCTGTGCAAGTTAATCACTGCTAACTCCAATGTACTCTCATGGAACTGAGCCCTAGACTATCTCACTGAACATTTGTACACATGTTTATGGAGACAAATCCTCTTGAGCCTATCAGGATTTAGGATTTCAGCCAAACCTCCGTTTATTTAGTCCAGTGTTTCTCAACCTTGGCAACTTGAAGATGGGTGGACTTCAACTCCCAGAATT